CTGCTCAGAATTTTGTTTTGATGCTGCAATAACCAAGCAACATAACTTTGAAGTCCGATGGCTAAATAAATGGCAATCAAATCATAAGATAAGATCATGAAAAACATATTACAAGTAGAGAGTAGAATTAACACTATAGATTCAAAAACATTGGTATCGATCTATAAATAGTAAGTCATTGTAGAGTGATCAATATGATATATATGGGACGACATGATATGTGGGACGAAATGCATTTGATACATATATTAAGACCATATAATCGCTACAAATGATAAAGGTATGTATTCCATTAAGAGGTGTTGTTGGAATAAGTCTTGTCTTTGTTTCCCTATTTGCTTCACCTTTGATTAACACTTCATATGTACAAAGTTCAACTTTTAGAACCATTCAACAAAAAAAAAAAAAGTGGCAGATTGTTTACTTCCTGGATTGACGTCGTGTGAATCATCAATCAAATTTGTCTTCTCCATAAGACCCTTTGTGATGTCTGGCATCAATCACTACTATGACCCCTCTGTCGTCCCCAGTGTTTGCACTTTCGAGCGATCCCGAATTCCAATCAATTGCGAACTTGGGATCCTTAAGTGTCCCCCCCCATATCTTGGATCTATTGCCTGTAGATAGTCTGTGCGCTTACTTCTATGTGAACGCTCTATGTTGAAGTTCGTTATGAAAATTGAATTTGTTGAGGTTCATATAACAAAACAATCGTCAATGTTTGATAATTAACTTATAAATGAGATGGTTTGTTTTTTAAAATTTGGTTATATCCTGGTTAGCACGCCGTACACGTGCGTAGTGCGTACGCGTACGTATTCCACCGTACACGTACGAACCTAAAATCGCACATACAGGTGGCAAAAACAACATTTATCGGGGAGTCATACCCGACGTCCTAACCAATCTCGATTTAAAAATAAAAAACCTTAAAGAAAACTTAAAAATAATGATAATAATAATAAATTATTTTAAAATAATTTTTAAATTATTATGATCAGGGTAACCGGCATTCAGGACGGGCCGAACGCCCGAACCCGAACGCGCGAACCCGAACGCCCGAATGTATGGGACCCCTTGGGGATGCGTTCGGCCGTTCGGGCCGAATGCAGACCCAAAAAAAAAAAAAAAAAAAA